ATGGCCTCAAACACAAAGAGTGAAATGTTACAATTAACCCCATAGTCTGGGTTAGTTGTAACATATCCTGGGGTGAAATGTAACACAATGAAATAAGGGTACTAACAAAACATTAACATGTAATCTTTGTTTATTCAACACATGAATGCACTTAGAGCCATTTATGTAGCTGTGTATGTGTGTGTGTGTGTGTGTGTGTGTGTGTGTGTGTGTGTGTGTGTGACTGTTCATTGCTGTGTGTGTGTGTGACAGAATGCAGAAATCTAGCTTTTGAACATATTCCAACCCCCCAAAAAAGACAAATTATGGAATTTTCTGCAACTGAATATTTCATTAATTTTGGTTGGTCTTCCTTGAGTTTGGCCTCATTGGCTCAGTGGGCATTATAACCTACAACTCTTGCACCAATTTTGAACATAACAATGAAGCTGAAAAAATGTAGTTGTTCACCAGCATCGCAATTCCATTACTTTTTATCATGGCTTACCTTGGTGTGGTTTGCAAAGTGCTTCAGAAAGATGAGGAAATCTGTTTCTTGCACCCATCCTGATTTATTTCCACTACCAGTACTTCCTACTGGTCCATCTCTGACACAGTGGTCTGCATAATGTATGTGTGGGAACACAAACAGGCATTAACCGCATATACAAAAGCGACCAGTGAACCTCTCTCTGCTGATGTCGTTGCCCCAACTTGTTTAATATAAGTTAAAGTAATAGTGTGGTAAGTTGTAACATCTGCATTATTGTTACAACTAACCCAGACTGTTGCTGTTACAACTGACCCAGACTCCTATAGCCATGAACTAGCTAACATTACAGCCAACGGCTAAAACATTAGCACTAAAGACCTACACAGAATATATCCCCATAGACATACAAATAACATAATTTAAGTTTGATGAGTTTAACTGCAAAGCAGATAATGCTATTAGAAATTGAAATAAAGTAGAAAAACTTACTTTTTGGCATACAAATTACTTTTTTTCGTGTTAAATTGTCTGTGTTTGACAAAATGTGCTGATTTTTCACATGTGATAGCAGAACTGAGTTGGGCATGCACAGGATGAGTCACATCATTTGAAACTTAGCCCTGATTGGAGAAATTGGAAGTGTTACAACTGACCCACGTTACAACTATCCCCGGTCTCCCCTACTGCTGTGTATTGAAATTCCTCTTGTTTTGCATAGGAATATACTGAACAATATACAAAGCATAATATATAAAATAACATCTCTCTTTACCATGCAATGGGTAATTGTGCTGCAGAGAAAATAGCTGCACTATTTAATAGCCGAGATATGTATGCATTACATTTTGAATCCACCACCTTAAAAGAGCTCCAATTTACAGACAGAAATGTCAAAAATGTTACAACTATCTTCGGTCTCCCCTACTTGCTGATTTTACTACCTCTGTCAACCCACATTTGTTCCACTGATGCAACAAAAACTGCATTTGTACTTGAGTGTACTGCAATATTCCAGTCTTCTCCTTAACAGCTCATCCATAGAGAAGAAGATACCACCAGTTACATAATAACTGGTAGTTTCAGTTCTGTCGCACAGTCTTAACTGAATGGTTAACTTTCACTTTCGATAGACCCTTATAGACTCTTCCTGTTCAGGTTTTCTTTCATGCAGCTCATCATTAAGTTTTCCCTCAAAATTTTAAACCTCGTTGTTCTGACTGTTTTTAGCAAATTTTAGCAAAAGGAAAATAATAAACAAATAATTATGACTGGCCGTTTGCATACTTCGACAACTATATGACGTCTCGTGAAAAAGCATACGAAATATATTTAAATATATGTACCCATATTAAAATTAATGATTTACCTACCCCTTTCATATCTGAAAGCAATACCATAGACGTCCTCACCCAGTCTTATCAGTGGGCCGCAGTCTCCTCCGCCCGAGATGGCGCGACGGAAATATGTTTCTATTCCTTTTATATCCTCTTCGCGGAGACCGTAGCACTCAAAGAAAACCGGGTAATGGTACATATCACCCATCATCCCGCTGTAACTAAAGCTATGTAGAGCTTGTAGCAGGCATCAGATCTACAGCTGATCCTGAGAGATGAGTTGTGCCGTTATGACACGGGCGCAAAACGAGTGCTGGTACGTCACGGGGGCCACGTGACCTAACAACTGCATCAAATTCGTGATAAATTTAGAACAGCAGCAAGTAAACAGCTCTAGGGCACATCACTGGACTGAATGCGTAGCCTTTGGCAAGCCGTGGAAGTTATAATAAACCCTTTAAGCCTTCTTAAACTTCACTTTGATTTTCCTTCTTCAAGCCTATTCACTTTTTTTTCCTTAAGAGAAACAACTGTTTGAAGGTCAGGTGCCCTACACTGTGTTGTTTCTCTGCCTTGTACAGCTGCGCAAACCTTCACCAACCAGCTCAATCTCTGCGCAGTATTTACGTTTAAAGAAATGGTATTGTGGTTTTGCACACATTCATTTTCGTTTCTTTGTGATTTTAAAAGATACTTTAAAAACTTTGTAATGCAGTAAAAACAAGAGCAAAAGTGCATGCTTTTGTTATTTCTCCTGGAACGCATTTTAATATACCTGCCATCATTTTGAGTATAATTTTGTTTTTTCTATGAATTTCTATTCGTGAATATAGTTCACGTGGGGCATTCCTTTATATCAGTAAAATGTTTTCCTTACATGTTTAGTAACGAAGCTTATGGGTAAGTTCAGTAAGGAAGATAAAACCTCTAACATCTGTCTGCTCTCAGGTGTTGCCTGCTAAATCTAAGCTTCACATCACGTCCTCTTTCCCACACTGTCAAGCTGTTTGCAATAACACTGGTCTGGTCCAATCATCTTTTTCCTGGCCTTCTTCAGGTCAGTCAGCATTCACGCAGCATACTTTAGATCTCACTGGACCTCTGTCATTCTCCTTTGCAAACGCCTTCATGTATCCCACCTCCTCCCATCACCATCTCTCATCACTCAGGCTCCATTCACGTCTCTATCTTCATCTCCACCACCAGCGTGTAGACTCCAGGGTGCCCTGCTGTAATCTCTATCACCGCTGGGATTCCTTTCCTTTGAGACGGGTCATTGAATTTTAACCGCCAAATACCTCTATCTAAATTCTGTACATCAATAAATCATGTTCATTTCTTTTTAATAATCTCTCCTTCTTGAAATAAAATGACTTATTTGTAAATAAGTGGACATGAATAACTCAAGCTTGTTATATAATGTTATAGCATGTTTTTAACTACCTCATTCTCTTTATTTTCAATTCAATTCAATTCAATTCAATTTCATTTATATAGTGCCAAATCACAACAAAAGTCTCCTCAAGGCACTTCAAAGATACAGAGAAAAACCCAACAATCATATGACCGCCTATGAGCAAGCACTTTG